AAGAATAAAAGACCCGCGGTCACGTTATAAAACATTTTACCAGCATAAACAGTTTCGTGCTATAATGCAGTACAAAAAAAAAAATAAATAAATAAAAAAACTAAATGAACACTTACATACTTTATTCGCTCTATGTTGAACTGGTTGGCTCTTTTGATATTTGGAAATGTGTTTACCTCTAAATAAATATGTTTAGTGTATATTGTTGTTGTTTGTTAATTTTTTATCCGTTAACATAAATAATGACGACTACAGCTTTTTTTTTGGTTTTACATTCAAAACACGAGTTCCCGTTAATCTCAAAGAGCATTTTCTTGTAGTAATAAATATTATGTTAAAATACAAAAAACATTTTATAGGGAAAAAAGCTTGTATTTAGATATTTTGCATTAGTCATTTCAATACGATTTAATTATGTGGCCAAACATTGTATTAACAAAACTAGTGAAATCTAAATTAACAATGAAAGTATTTAAAAACATTACTATTTTTAGCAAAGCGAAGTTTTTGGGGTGAAAGGTCTGAATGTTAGCCAGAATGTAGATCTAGGATGGGGCTGTGAACTTTTACAAGTTTCTAAAAAATCTGTTGTCAAACTTATTTTCTATTTACCCTCCCAAATAAAAAAAAGGGGGGAATTTACACTTCGACCGTAGTCATTTTTTTAGAATGTTATGTGCGAATGAATCAACAGTCAACAGGTGTTTAAAAAATATTTGCATTATATTGTTAACGCGATAAACAACGGCAACAAATAATCGTAGACAGACTATCAATCCTTATCGCATCGCCATTATACAAAAAAAAAACATTTTTTAGCACATTATGTCATTAAAATGCTTTTATCGATATTTGTATTTGTGCCATTACAGGTTCGCTTCGAAGCGTTGATTTGAAAGTGATTTTATCACCTTCAGTTGTAGCGATATGAATTCAGATCTGTGGGACATCCCTTGCCCCATTATGCCTCCACCTCGCCGTACTGGCTTTTTATATTTTATAAAATAGTCAATATATATATATATATATATATATATATATGTATGTATGTATGTATTACTATTGATTACCGCAAACAATATTGTATTTTTTTCAAAAATCTATAAGTGTATCCCGCAGTGACAGTTCTAATCCGCGCCATGATGTAGTAGTGCAGTAGCCAAGTCGGAGAGGAAAAAAACCCTCAAAGGGAGAGTGAGTGAATCGGAGAGGGATAGAAAATGACAATTATAAAAGTTCGGTCCGTGGCCGCACAAAACAAATGGGGCGTACGGTCTGGAACGAATCGTAATAAAAATAATGGTTTTACAATTGAGAAGGGGAAAAAAATCGTCGCAAATGTAAAAGGACTTACGGCTGTCGACTTGACCATGATGTATTGCGCGTTGCCGTGATGTGTTGTCCAAACGACCCGTGAAACGGCCGCACCTGTCGGCCGGGCGACTGGGCTTTGGATTTAATTTTTTTGCTTCGGACGCATTGTGCTAGATAAAGACGTTTCGAGAGCATAATATATAAATTATTATTATTATAAGTATCGTCATTGTAATCGAGTGGTAATATCAAACACGTGTATTTAAAAAAAAAGCCATTTCAGTTTGACGGAAAAATTGGCCGGTACCCAATAGCCTTAAGTAGATGTTATTAATATTTTAAACCACTATATAAGTATTTAATTCAAATCTGGTGGTAAATTAACAATCCAATTCTGTGTTTGGATGGCAGAAGTAGATGTATACATTTTGGTGTTATCAAATTAAATTGTATACTACCAATAATAATAAACTGATATCATGTTTTAAAATAGGTATTATACAAAGTGGAAACATATGGCGTGTATGGATTATTTTGTTTATCGAGTTAATACTTTATCCAATCATTTTGTAGATATTATTTCAAAATAAATATAGTTTGATTTAACGACTAAAAATTGCATTATGCCGGCTTGTTTACTATCGCTACCGTATTACCTCGATAAACATATTCAAAATGTTATCTCTAAAATTTAAATCGGCCAATTTCAGTGGTGATAACACAGTATTGTATAAAATATTTGATAAATCATGGGAATAACAACAACTGTTTCCATGAAATACAGCCGACTATGGCCTATGGGCAATGCGCGTTCCGTGTACTCTTAGGGTTTAAGTTTAACGTTATCACGGAGTTGTCTGGTCGCATCAATAAACACGAGGGCACGTATATCCCGAACCTATACGCGGGTACGGCCGGTAAATATTATGGCAACCAGTGCACAGTAAAAGAGTCGTTAAAAAAGTAGGTACGCCGACTATACACGGGCCGTTTCGATTCTAGTCGTAAAACACACGGCGGTGTGTGTAAACCAGCCCTAGGATAGACCGTATAATAGCCGGCCATTATTGCACACCATCGGGTTCTGTCACCTTTTTATAATCCAATCAACGGGCAGTTAAAATTAAAATAAGTCTCGTAAAACGAGACGGCGGTGGTTATGGGAAAACGCGGATAGGCAACAAGCCGGGGCTGTATAATGACAATTAAAATTTCCTTGATTGGATGTACCGTCACGCCCGTGCTCTTGTAGGCAACAAAACATGGAAACTATAATATAGATTTTGGTATAGTATGAGGTGCAGTTCAGAGACTACAGGGTAGGTACCTGTTTTTTTAATCAAATCGAACAATACCTCCCTCTATCGTATATTTTGAATGTTTAGTAAACTTACAGCCACACGTTATCAACATGATGGCTGTCAAAACTCAGATAGGTATTGATAAGGTATTTTTCCAAATGAATCAATATCTAAGGATTTCAAAGGATACGCCCGCCGGCTTATTAGATCACATTCTCAAATAAAATACAATACATATTATGCATTATTATATTATTTTATAATCGTTGAAATCTTAATTAATACATAAGCCTACATCTTACATATTAAAATATGGTTTCTGAAATGGCTCTAAATACAACTAAACTTTCTAAGGTGAGTTAGTTATATATTGTCAAAATTATTGTTAGACTGATGTAGAATGCTCATGTTGATAAATAACAGTACATACTATTGCCGAATATTATTAAAAATTATTCTATACAGATAATCGCATGTACACCATTACTGCTTTTTGAACATTTGTACTTTAATATCGTGTATTAATTAAAATAATGGTTACTCGACTCGTTTTTAACTTGCCTATCTCCCCAATGGGCGGTTTCTGTACACTACCTTAACACGGTAAACATGATATTTTGATATAAATCTTTAATATAAAATTTAATTTAAAAAAACAATACTCGAAGTTAATAGCCCAATTGAGAGAGTAGTAGTAAATCTAATTGCCGATTCATTCCTATGGTCTCTCGTTAATTGGCACTCAAAGTCTTACATCCAGTGAACCCACCTTTACTCTCTTACACCGCATAGCAATTAAGGTCTCCACCGGTGTATGCTATTATTATACATACAACTAAAAGAATATTATAAAAAAAATCGCAGTTTTTCGGTTAGCTTTTTGCCGTAAACGATCAAAAGACTTGAGTAATTTAGTATACAAAGTAGGTAAAATGAACTGAAAGAAAAATAAATGGATGTTTACATTGTCGCATCTTCGGTTGCACTCATTTGCACAAGTACTGTATTAGTCGGTACGGTGGTGGAAAAAAGTCGCCTTTGCCGTCAGTGTTTATGTTAAAACACTTTTTCTTTTGTGCGTTCCTTTCCGTTTCCACCACACCAAGACCTGTGTGCTGGGCCGTGTCGGACAATAAACCAGAACAATGCGAAAACACGATAAGAGTGTTAAAAAAAATATTACTACTATTATTATGATACATACCTATATATATATACTTGTGGTATAGAGTAGTGTTTACGAGGTTAGTTTTTGGCATTGAGTGTTGTCGGAGCGAAATGTGATTTATCGTGTACGAAATAAAAAGATACGGCCGGGATGTTTGTTTTTGTTTTTTTATTATTATTATTAAGTATTTTTTTCCACCGCTTTTGACTTAACTCCGGAGGAGTGGTAGGTACTCCGTGAAATGCGGCGTGTCGAAGGAAAGGAGGGGTCTGTCTTTCCAACAGTCGTAAATCTTTTTTTAATTACCCAGTAACCCTTCCTTAAACAATTTCCGTCAAGTCTCCTCCCCCCAAAGTCAGATTTAAGTTTTCCTCCCCTCGATTGTGTGTGTGTGTTTATCTTCTCGAAAATTTCCCTCTTTAACGAGTCAATTTTATAATAGCCGACGTGTCGTTAAGGCTCTTAATTATGGTTTCTTTTTCGAGTCCATTAGACGTTTTATTTTTTTTATTATCGTTCTAAACGGCCTTACTATAAAAGATAGCCGCACTAAAAATACATAATATAATAGTATAAAAGTAGGTACCAAAAACACTTGACAAATTTTGCTCGATACTGAATCATCAAAGTCATGCCCGAATTATTCAATAACAATATTAATTTAAAAAAAAACCCCTATTTGTAATTCACTAAGCGAGCGAAAATCAAATCAGCTCCTTTTATCTTATTTTATATTCGTTGTATATAATAATTAATTAGACACTATTTGCTATTATTATTATTATTGTACGGTTTTTTTATTTCAGACACTAAGCTTAAGTTTACATAAAACCGTGTACACATCTCGTTCTGGTGGTTATGTTTAATAGGGAATAGTCGTCCGCCGTAGAGGTAGATGGCGGCACAAGAATGATGCCTGAGTAACAATACATAATAATGTATAAATTTAAGTTTACACTGGTTTGTACTGGTAGAATAAACCATTAATGAAAGAATAGTATTTCTATTGTTCGGATAACCTTTAAAACCTCTTACATTAATTTCCTTTTTCCTTTTTAAATCAGACATAGGCTTAAAATAAGGACATACATGTCCCGAAACGACATTCAAATAATAGTTTTCTTCAATAACACTTAGAGTATAAGCTAGTGTCAGAAGTTGATGCTTAATACTAATACATTTTTTTTAATCACAGAATAAAATGGTTTGTATGTAAAATAAATATGGGTGACAAACTGTATCAAATACTTTATTACACACTACTATATTTACAATATTTTTTCTACTTATGTTAATAAAGAAAAGTTTTGTATCATATCTACAACCATATTAGATATATATGATCCTATATATATATAACCATAGGACTCCGTCGTTTCCCTTTGATCGACAGGAAAGCTGATCAAAAGGCTGGTACGCCACTACACAAATAACAAAAACATTAAATTTATGATTTTTGACTTACCTCTTAATGATCCGAAAATTACTTTGGTGGAGAATCTGAAATGTTAAGTAAACCGCTGTTCTTTTGGCCAAATTCTAAGGGTTTAGTTAAATTCAATGGGACTTTATATTTCTGTCCTATAATTGAAAAATAAATAATAACTGTAAATGTTATTTTACACATTCCCGTTTCATTGTATAGCACAAACTATTGTAATTATTATTAGCTAAATTTTAAACTGCTAATAGTTTTAAATAATATGTCACTTACTGCAATACGGTGAGGCATCTGCCGTGGTTAAAAAGTATTTTGTGCCGGGAGGATAAGAAGGTTTTCTTGTTTTCAAACCCATTATGGTAATATCTGTTACATTGTTCGAATCACAAGTACCCTACAAATAAAAATATACTATAATAGAAAATTCAACAATTATTTTTTAATTACAATTTAATTTATTAATCTTTTAATTCTCATATCATACATTTTTAGGCACATTAATTATAAAGCAAACAAAACTGTGTATATCTTTCTTAAAATGTAAATGTTTGAGCTAAATGGTTAATTTTTTAATGCGTATAAATAATAAATCTATAGAGTACAATAATAATAGAGTAACAATTGCATTTTGTTATTTAATACAAAAGGTTGTTTTGATTTACTTGTAGGAATTTCTTATATGAATCGCATTTGTTTGCAACGAACGAGCATTTTGAGTTAATAGATTCAATGAACAGGTATTGGGCTCTTTTGTGGTCACAAAGGAACTCATTTTCTTGTCTCCTAATACCATCGTTAAACTGAATACAACCCGGTTGCTTTGTACCGCCGTTCGGATAGAAGTCGACGTGGCCACACGGAATTGTTATACCAAATCCTATCAACGGTAATAAAACAATAACTATCCAAAATAAATTTTAGAACTTTACTGTACATGTACAGTATGTAGACTATATATTTACATGGAATTTTTATATTTATATATAAAAAGTGTCTCCACGAAAGTGTCGCCATATATATACGTATATACTTACCCAAAATGTGTGCATCCGTGTGTATGACGTCTACCAGTTGTGCATCCGTATGATAAAGCCTGTGTTTAGAAGTCATTTCTTCGAACCCCGGTCCGGCCGGGTCGAGCCCTGTGATGCGGCCTACTAGCCCTTGTAAGTGTTTACCAGCATAACCTGCTGCATGTGCTCCTAAACTGTGTCCTATCAGATGGACATTTTGTGGATCTAGTCCCACGAGGCCCTGGAATGCAGTAATAAATATCAAATACAATAATTTAAAAAGATATGCTATTTCTATAAATTATGACTGTATTAGCTGATTAGTTAGAAAAGTTATCGATAAAGTAACAAGTGACAAATAGTTTTTTATAAGTATATATAATTTAGCCAGTACGCAATTTTTCAAGACTTATGCCACTCGGCATTTCTTCATAATATTATTCATTTAAAATAACTATTGTTGGAGTACCAACAAATTATATTATTGCAAGTACTTCGTATGCGGTCTGACTACGCTAATTAGTACTCTCCATGTATATTAAATAACTATAACACATATATAGATTTTTAATATTACCCGTAAATAGTTGATTAAATTTCCGGTTTCCCATCCCACTCGTTTGAGTCTTTCTATCGCGAGAAGGTAGTCAATGTCACTGAGCCATTGTACTAATATAACATTAGAGTCAGAATTTATTAACAATTGATTTTTCATCGTCTGCACAAAAAAAATTAAACAAATAATTTAATTGAAATACTAAAGATCAAACGTAATTTGCGTCACCAGCATCCATCTTCGCCGGCTATCTGATTCGGAACGCCAACCGTGAATGAGGAACTTTGTAGGATTTTTTGGGTTAAAATTTGAGTTTTTTATTGTTTCACTAGAGTTAACTTTCAGTATCTGACCCTAAAAATAAAACAGGAGATTGTATAAGTAGAATCCATGTTAAAAATTTAATACGGGAGAAGTGACAGTTTGAAGAGTTTTGGACTTTACTTCCCATCCAAAATCAGGAGAATTCACCGATGAATAAATTCGGAGATTATCGCTTGGTTGCAATGACGGTATTGGTACCTAAAACTTATAAATTATGGTTTAAAGATTTGTAAAATGTACCTTTATGAAATGCTTCCTGGTATAAAGGACGAACTCTTGTAATTTGTCGTTAGGTTTCACGTGTGGCTTAGGTTTGAAGTCCAGACATCCCATTTCACCAAAACATACGGTATTCACTGTACACAAAGACAATTTTATTATTTAAACAAGTGGGAAATTGAAATTATGTACAGCTCGAATCAATTATGATTACAGCTCGACCACATCATATATTTAAATCATCGCAAACAATTTAGGATCGATAGTCATTATCCTCAAGCAAATCGGTCCATGAGAAAATCAATTTTCAGAAACGAAAAAAAAACTTTAATATAATAATAGTTTCTGTTGTTCCTAACGCGATGTCGACTATTACTTAACTATATTAATATTAATATACTACTAACCTGATACAATATTCTGGTTTTCCACGACAGCTGCTTTAGTTAAACGCGATATTAAGCATAGCAATAAAATGCATTGAATGGACATTATTTTGTGATAGCCAGACATCGTTTCGGATACAGCTAGTAAGACTTGTGCTGTGTACAAAGTAGTATTACTATAAGAGTATTAAATATTAACTTTTTTGTTTTCATTTTATACACATGACAGTACTTGAGAGTTTGGTAAAAGGTCTATAAAGTGATTTGATAAGCATAATAATTATACTATCATGGTTTCTGTTTAACCATTAATTAATGAAGGATTTAATACGAGTGTTGATTATTATGATAGTCATTACTATTAATTTTATTAATCTAGGGTAACGGAACAAGGTCGCGGTATTTGACATAATGAGGTAGTAGAATGTAACTGGAAAACCTAATCCAACACCGGAAGTTTGCCAAAGTCCGCAGTACTGGATTGAAGGTAGATGGAAAGGAAAAATATGGTAAATTTTGAAAAATGTATTATCCATTAAGATTTTAAATGAATCGTTGGGTTGATTAGATCAACGTCAATGTATGATTTGAATTTCGCATTTAAACAATAAAATAAAACTTTATTAAATACAGTACAATTGCGTTGTACACTAATTACTATATGTAACATAAAGCTTTATATTATAACACTTAATTTTTGAAAATATGTTTCTTAATAATTGTTAGCTGTATATTTTGTAATTATTTCTGCAATCATTTTTTTTTTATAATAGGTGTTGAAATATCATTTAATTTGATATAATATAATTATTCTTTATTACTTATTAGTCAGTCATTTGATAATGCTAACCATTAAACAAAGTAATAGTTAAAAAAAAAACGAATAGATTTATACTAATCTTTTTTTTAACATGTATATGTTTTATCGCTGGGGGTCATTCTAAAAATTTGTCCGAAACGTAACGCTGGATGTGATACTTGCCGAGTATATAAGATTAGAGAAAAGATATCTATATATATATATATAACTAAAACCTAATTCTTTTCTCCGCTCCACGGAAAAACATTGAATCACGGATACGTTTTAGTATTACGGGTCCGTATAGCCATAACGATTTTATTTGTATGAAGTACAATTAATTTACATTGCAAATTGCCGACTGCTACTGTCGCAATTTCAAAGTACCAGGGTCCTTTGTTAAGTTTGCTATGAATTGCTCAGCAGCTGTAACGGATGATAATTTATATGAGACACATACTGTCAGAACAGCTTAACCTATTAAAAACAAAATTTGTTTAAAACGTTTAGAATGAACTAAATTTGTTTAGAATTTTATTATGTTAAGAAAAAGTAACAGGGTCCTAGCAACCGCGAGAGTGTCATTTCATGGTGTCGGTGAAAATGAAACACGTGTGTGTTCTACAATTTCATTCTCTCATCCAATATTTACTGGCAATAAGACAGTGAAAGTATTTAGTGTTTCAGCTTGTATTGACGATTAACTTAATTTTTCCAAACAAAATATATACATAGTTTCTACTATTCTTTATGAAATTATTAATATTTAAAGAATCATCTATACCTAATGAATGTCTTACCTTTTTATGCGTGTCGAGGAAATGATGTCGAGTAGAAACACGGCTACGAACGTCGCCACAAATATTTATTGTAAAACTTAACATAACAGACGAATAGAGGGGAAGACCTGTTACTCTATTGGGAACTTTGAACCGATGTTATTAAAGAGCTAGCGCGAGAAGGCAATGTGAGTGAATGTAGAAAAACTAGGGGACACATTATCTTAATTTATTAATTTTAAATGAATTAAGTATTCTTTATTTATAGATATATTTATGTATAGTTATCTTAAGCACTACCCACACTTCAGCTACATTGTCAAAAATATTTGTCGCACACAATGTTTTTGTTAAGACTGACATTTACCTTCACTTAAGGGGGTAAACAAGCAGCTATACTATGCTAATGGCGGTTTTGGAACTGTGGTGCGGACGAGTTTTTTCAACATTGTATTCTCAACGTTCTCGAGACGTTTTAAAGCAAATCTAGGGTAAATTCGAATTTAGCTAAGAAAATTGGTCGTATTTTCTTGTATCAAAATATTTTTATACAATGTATTTAATCAGAAGACACTCAGTAGAAACATGCAAATATGACGCACCTGAATAAAAACTTATTCGAGAGTTTTTTTTATCGTTAAGTGTTATGAAACAGGGTGATTTTTTTTATCATGTTCCACTCAATATCTCAATGGGTTTAATTAATAATTACATTTTTTTCATAGTGTTAGTGGTATACAAGGTGATAATTTTATCGTCAACCACTCAAAATCGTTACTCTTGTAACGATTCCGTTAAGTAAAATACCTAATTATGGTTATCTCTTCTATACTCGTATAGAATAACATTTTATTTTTATTTAAAATAAGTAGGTATAAAAAAAATTATAATTAGTGATACAATTTGTGGAGTACTTAAGTAGATACATTTGATATTGCATGATAGTACTAATCAGTTGACAAGATGAGAAATATTATTTTATTGTTTGTTTCACCGTTATTTCAATGTTTGTAGTAACAATTAATTAAATGTTCACAGCTTGTATAGGTACACTTATTCCTAATAAAATCACAATGTATGTGAATACTCAATAATCAACTCTTGTTTATTGTAAATATCATAATGTTTTCATTAATTCAATACGCTGCAATATGTAAGTGTTCATTTGGTTTTCTGATCCGGACTAGATACTTGATAGTTATATTTTTAATAACTCTTATTATTAGGTTAGTATTCACACTGCAGGTGTTATTGTGGTAAATAATATGAATTTTTCAATTGAGTAAGGTTCGGATATATCCACGTCACACGTTTTATGTCGACGTTTCGGACTCTTTGCAGAGTCCATCTTCAGGGCAATAGTGGTCTCGGCTGTTCAAATGCCGTGACCATACAACGTCGGCATAAAACGTGTGACGTGGATACATCCGAAACTTACTCAATTGATATATCAATCCACGAAAGTTCTAACGCATTCATAATATGAATTTCTTACTGACTAACATCGTATTACATTAAAATATTAATTCTATAAATTGGTTACAAATCCCAAACAACTTACTCGAAGTAATAAAATCTCCTCTGAATAAAATTACAGAAAAGTAACTAATTCTATTATACTTATAATTTACTACAGTAACACTTAAAGTAAAAGCTTGTGTCTGTAGTTGATGCTTAGTATTAATAAAACAAAGTTTAAAAAATAATCACAGAATGGAAATGGTTTGTATGTAAAATAAATATGGGTGACAAACTGTATCAAATACTTAATTACACACTACTATATTTACAATATTTTTTCTACTTATGTTATTAAAGAAAAGTTTTGTATCATATCTACAACCATATTAGATATATATGATCCTATATATATAACCATAGGACTCCGTCGTTTCCCTTTGATCGACAGGAAAGCTGATCAAAAGGCTGGTACGCCACTACACAAATAACAAAAACATTAAATTTATGATTTTTGACTTACCTCTTAATGATCCGAAAATTACTTTGGTGGAGAATCTGAAATGTTAAGTAAACCGCTGTTCTTTTGGCCAAATTTTAAAGGGTTTAGTTAAATTCAATGTGATTTTATAATTCCGTCCTATAATTGAAAGAATAATTAATAAAAACTCTAAATGTTATTTTACACATTCCCGTTTCATTGAATAGCACAAACTATTATAATTATTATTAGCTAAATTATTCCAAACTACTGAAATTTTAAAATAGTATATCACTTACTGCAATACGGTGAGGCATTTCCCGTGTTTAAGAAGTATTTTGTGCCGGGAGGATAAGAAGGTTTTCTTGTCTTCAAACCCATTATGGTAATATCTGTTACATTGTTCGAATAACAATTACCCTACAAATACAAACATACAATATTAGTAAATTCATCAAATATTTTTTAATTACAATTTAATCTATTAACCTTTTAATTCTAAATTCATACATTTTTATATGCACATAAATCTATAGAGTACAAAAATAATAGAGAAACAATTACAATTTGTTATTTAATTCTAAAGGTTATTTCGATTTACTTGTAGGAATTTCTTAAATGAACCGCATTTGTTTGCAACGAACAAGCATTTTGAGTTAATAGATTCAGTGAACAGGAATTTGGCTCTTTCATGGTCACAAATTATGTCACTCTTACAGCCCCGTTGCTTTTTACCGCCGTTCGGATAAATGTCAACGTGACCACACGGCATTCTTATACCTAATCCTATCAACGACAATTTTGTTTTCAAATAAAACATATACATGCTAAAAGAAACACTACCAAAATTGTAATTATTTTAAGAGTAAAGCAGTTTAGAACGTTAACTGAATCACCCGGTATAGTCTATATAATATCATTATAATATTGTAACAAAAAAGCGGTCTCCACAATATTGTCGCCACATATATATGTACACTTTTATACTTACCAAAAATACTGGTTACACCTGTGTGTATGACGTCTACAAATTGTGCGTCCGTATGATGAAGCCTGTATTTAGAAGACTCCCCTTCAAACCCCGGTCCGGCCGGGTCGAGCCCCGTGATGCGGCCTACTAGCCCTTGTAAGTGTTTACCAGCATAACCTGCTGCATGTGCTCCTAAACTGTGTCCTATCAGATGGACATTTTGTGGATCTAGTCCCACGAGACCCTGGAATGCAGTAATAAATATCAAATATAATAATTTAAAAAAATATGCTATTTCTATAAACTAAGACTGTATTAGCTAATAGAAGTTATCGATAAAGCAACAAATAAGTGCCAAAGAAGTGATAAATACTATTTTATAAGTATATATATATATATATATATATATATATATATATATATATATATAATATAGCCAGAACAAAATTCTTAAAGACCTATGCCAATCGACATTTCTTCATAGTATTATTCATTTAAAATAACTATTGTTGGTGTACCAACAAATTATATTATTGAATTACTTAGTTTGACTATTAGTACTCTCCATTGATATTAAATAACTAAAAAAACATACATACATTTTTAATATTACTTGTAAATAGTTTATTAAATTGCCGGTTTCCCGCCCCACTTGTTCGATTCTTTCTACCGCCAGAAGGTAGTCAATGTCACTGAGCCATTGTACTAATATAACATTAGAGTCAGAATTTATTAACAATTGATTTTTCATCGTCTGCACAAAAAAAATTAAACAAATAATTTAATTGAAATACTAAAGATCAAACGTAATTTGCGTCACCAGCATCCATCTTCGCAGACTATCTGATTCGGAACGCCAACCGTGGATGATGAACTTTGTAGGATTTTTCGGGTTAAAATTTGAGTTTTTTATTGTTTCACTAGAGTTAACTTTCAGTATCTGACCCTGAAAACAAAATAGGTAAAAGTGTAGGTAATCAACAAATATCAGGTTGTTTATTTGTTGGATATTTAAATTCTATTATGATTAACAAATATTGTATACACATTTTTATAGTTTAAACTTTAAATGACCTTTTTCTGTTGTTAAATTTGCATCTATGTGGATAACATAACTTCAAAGTTCAACATAATATAAACTTAAGCAATTAAATTTTGTAGAAGTAGCGTCTGTGTTAAAAATGTATATTCGGTTAAGTCACCGACGAGAATATTCGGAGATTATCGCTTGGTTGGAACGACGGTTGGTACCTAAAACTTATAAATTATGGCTTATAGATTTGTAAAATTATACCTGTACGAAATGCTTCCTGGTAAAAAGGACGAACTCTTGTAATTTGTCGTCAGGTTTCACATGTGGCTTAGGTTTGAAGTCCAGATATCCCATTTCGCCAAAACATACGGTATTCACTGTACATAAAGGCAATTTTATTATTTAAACGACAAGTGGGAAATTGAAATTTTATACAGCTCGAATCAATTATGATTACTGACTACATCAAAAGTTTAAATCATCGCAAACAATTTAGGATCGATAGTCATGATCCTTAACAAATCGGCCCAAGAGAAAAACATTTTTCAGACACGGAAAAAAAATACTTTATTATAATAATAGTTTTTGTTATTTCTAACGTAATGTCGACTATTACTTAACTATATTAACATTAATATACCACTAACCTGTTACAATCTTCTGGCTTTCCACGGCAGCTGCTTTAGATAAACGCGATATTAGGCATATCAATAAAATGCATTGAATGGACTTTATTTTGTGAAAACTAGACATCGTTTCGGATACAGCTAGTAATACTTGTGCTGTTAACAAAGTAGTATTATACTTTTTCATAGATAATCATGATTCATTCAGATCAGAAATCTTTTGTTTCCATTTTATACACATGACAGTACTTGGGAGTTTTGTAAAAGGTCTATAAAGTGATTTGATAAGCATAATAATTATACTATCATGGTTTCTGTTTAACCATTAATTAATGAAGGATTTAATATGAGTGTTGATTATTATGATAGTCATTACTATTAATTTTAATAATCTAGGGTAACGGAACAAGGTCGTGGTATTTGGCATCACGGGGTGTATGAATGTAACTGAAAAACCTAATCCAACACCAAAAGTTTGCTGTTGTCCACATTACTGGATGGAAGGTAGCCGGAAAGGAAAAATATGGTAAATTTTGAAAAAATGTAATATGCATTTAGTTTTTAAATAAATCAGTTTTTGCTTATAACTTCAAAGTAAGTACAACCATACACACCACTTTCTATCATACCCTTCATTTAAAAAGCGAAAAAACACATTTTATAGACAAAAACTGATTTTGTAAAAAATTAAATTTAACATACCTAGCCGTTTTATTTAAATGAACTACAAAGTGAAAAAACTTAATCAAAGTTGACTCTTGAAAAACGTATGAATTTATTTTAAATTTACTCTCTATTTTATGATGGTAGAGTGTACATATTAAACTTTGACTCGCGTTAACTACATTTTATATTTATTTCTATTCAAAAATTCTACTTAGGCCCTAATCAAAGTAAGTTCTACCCACTTAAGATAACAGTCGGGATAGCAGTTCGAGATAACAGTAATTGACTCAATTGACACTCACTATATATACTTTTATTACCTACAAATAAGCAACCTAATTTTGGAATTTAGGTGAAAAATAGCAAAAAAGTTCTCCCTTTGGGTTCTAGAGGTTATATTTGACAGATTACAGGCATTAGACTTGTTGTGAGTTTATTAAATAATAAATAAATTCTGTTTGCGTGAGCAATTTCTACTAAAAAAGTTTGATCGTTTGCCCTTTAGACGAGATAATAGTATGTCATTTTATACGAGTACCTATGTATTATTTTACAAAAGTATATTGATAAAGCATTTTATTACTGATGAAGTGGCATCACCTTTTCGTATTTCGGCAACAATGTTGTGAGTTGTCATCTTTATTGCTAACGATAGGCTGAGCTCAGTCTGTACATACTAGTTTATCGTGTGACATTGCATTATACTTAGTAGAGTTATTTCACAATTAAAGTTACACAATTATTGGGTTTGACACGTTAAACGTATGTTCTATACATCGTGGAGACGTGGAGAACATATCATTTTTTATAGTTATGGGTTTTAAATAATATTTTATTATTAACAGATAAGTCATAAAGATCTACACTTGATTTTCTAAAATATGTTTCCTAATAATTGTTGGCTGCATATTTTGTAATTATTTTTGCAATCATTTTTTTTTATAATAGGTATCAAAATATAGTATAATATTCATTGATCATTTGATAATAATAACATTACACAAAGTAATAGATAAAAAAAAACTGAATAGATTTATACTAATTTTTTTTTCTTCTAACCAATTTGACCCTTTGATCTTTTCTATTTATGTATTTAATTTACATTTTCTGACAAAGTTGTATTAAGTTATTAATTTAAATATAAGTAATACAATTTTATTTTTTATTTTAAGTTTAATAATTTCCAAGTACAATTATTTTTATGGGCCATTATCCTAGAAAGATGTAAATTCCCGTTGTCATTTTTATTTTTACTGATCTTAATTTTACCTAATTATTTTGGCCTAGGACTATCTGTTGCTCACTCTCTTAAAACATTTTGCACCATAGCTATTATACTGTACATACTTATTTGCTGAATTAACGGCCAAGTCAAATTTCATTCTCCTACCCAAAATTTACTGAGGCAATGAAAATATTTAGTTTTTCAGCTTGTATTAATTAATTTAATTTTTCCGAACGAAATATTTATACATAGTTTCTACTTTTCTTTATGAAATTGTTAATGTTCAAAGCAACAAATCTGTAAAGAGTGTCTTACCTTTTTATGCGTGTCGAGGGAATGAAGTCGAATAGACCCACAGCTACGAACGTCACCACAAATATTTATTGTAAAACTTAACATAACAGATAAATGGAGGGGAAGCAACTGGGTTTCCCTAAGCAAATCTACGATAAATTCGAATTCGACTAGGAAAATTGGTCATTTTTTCTTGTATCAAATATTTTTGTACTATGTATTTAATCAGTAGACACTCAGTAAAAACATTTAAATGTGACGCACTTGAATAAAAACTCATTCGAGAGTTTTTTTTTGTCGTTAAGTGTTATAATTTTTTTTATCATGTACCACTAAATATCTCACTGGGATTAATCGATTTTTGATTTTTTTTCATAGTGTTCCTATATAATTTGATCACAATTTCCCGCAAATTTGTATGTCCTTACCCCCCTTCTAAACTATATATTTTTGTATCAACTTTTGAAACTTAAATGGAAACGCATACATTTCATTAACTTTTTTAATTGAGAATAATGTACTAAAAATGTTGACTGGTCGATAGGTGTACCTATACTCTTGGCTTTAGTGGTTCACCCCGAAGGGATCCCCTACGACTGCGAAGTAACTAGTAGTACTGGGTGATTATTGTGGGCTGGGGAAGATGTGTCTCAAGAAGAAGTGACCTGTCAGAAGGCCACTTATTGGAGGGCTCTACGTCACTTTAGTCGCCTTTTACGACAGGTGTGAGGCCCTTGGTATGACTGGTCGATAACCAGTTTTGGATAACTATTTTTTAAGTTATTAAAGATTCAAGTTTAGGGCACGAGGTAAGGTAAAGTGTAGCATTATTTTTATCTGCACGCACTTCCTCTCCCGTCATAACTTTTAAACTTTAAAAATAGTTGTTCAAAACTAGTTACCAACCAGTCAACATTTTTAGTAAAATATTCTTAATTTTAAAAGTTAATAGAATATAATATACATTATCATTATATAAGTTTCAAAACCTGATATAAAAATAATTAGTTAAGGAGGGGGGTAGGAATATAAACAATTTTTTTATTTGAATTAATTTATACTCATCTGCTCTATAAACACCACGGTTTGTATGACTCTTAACTGTTTTTTTTTTTTTAGAAATTTAAGATATTATTTTATTTTTTGATTTTAATGTTTTAAGTGTAGGTTGGGAAGTGGAGTGCGGTAGAGTAATGTGTGCATATAAAAATAACTCTACGCACTTACTCTACCGCACTCCACACCCCATCCTACCATTTACCCATAATAACTATTCAAAAAATGTACTAAATAATGAACATAGATTAATTAAAAAAAAAATCATATTATGCTATTTAAGTGGGATCGAAAGTCAGATCGTAGTGATCCTGACCAAAATAGTCAGTTCAACATAATATATTTAAAAAATGAACTCTAGTAGCAATCACATAAATCTCATCTATTAACGATTTATGAAGTTTATTTTTTAATAATTTGTTAATTTATGTTTAATTAATTGATTTATTTCACGGTTGATGTTAATTTTATTATTAAAATCTTTGGCAATTGCCATACGCTAAAATATAAATAAAAACATAATAGTATAAAGTATTAAGATATGTACTAGAAAGGCCTCTATTAAAAAAAAAAAGATATTCACAATATTTGTATCGTCGATGCAAAGCTAAGAACATATATTAGTATAACAATGATGTACTCTGATGGTTTATGTTGAGCCAGGTTTTTAATATTTAGTTTATTATAAATTACAGCACATATTTTACGTTACATAATAATAACCAAAAAAAATGACATTGACGAATATCATTAATAGAAATCAAAACTTTTATAATCCATCTAGAAGAAAGATAACCAGATATGACTAGGTATGTGTACAGAGTGAATGTTCTAACTCATTTCAGCGGATTCTTTATGTATAGTCAATAGTCAATATACAGTGATGCTTTTAATTGGTTTTTAAGACTCGGAAGTATAAAATCTGAAATTACATAGTCATTAGTACTTTTCAAAGTTAAATTGCAACTTTTATCTGAAATTTGGATGCCAAGTTAGTAGCTGATGAACTATTGTTTAAGCTATAATCCGCAACAAAATAAAATGTCTATCTTGTAGCTTACATAAATATCTATTTCAGACACTTGATGCGCTCTGTACTTTAATGATAACATTTTTATGGCTGATGGAAAGTGTACAAAACACTCTAAACCATAATATATTTTTCCAAGTTTTTTGCAGGTATTTACACTATTTAATAGGTATCATTTACATCATATCACTATTGTAGTATTTTTTTAGTATTCCTACATTGTTATTAATATAAAATAGTAAAATGTCTTATACATGTTCGAAGAAAGCTCTAATATTCGGCATACTCGTCGCTTTTGTAGTCGCAGGGATATACATGTACTACACAATAGTTGTCACTAAAACGGATTCATCGAGACCTTATCAAAATATAAGTGTCGTCCACCCTGCTCTCAAGTTTGCTGTCGTTGTAAGTACAAATATGTGAAACATTTCCTACAGACAAACTGTACAGTCGTAAACTATAGTGTATTTACTATTATTTAACAAAAAACAACGTAAATAAATTGGAGTGGTTTAGTCCATCGACAGTTCTATTTTTATGTAAAGTTAATTACTGTGTAATTATTATAGATTTTTCGGCATGGTGATAGAGCGCCACTTTATTCATACAAGACCGATCCGTATACTAATGCTTTTCCAGAAGGGAAATCTCAACTGACAAAGGTAAACTATAATAATATAATAGAAAGATTTTACTGCAATCATGAACAATGGCGTGTATCGCAAAAGATAAACCGTTTTGGTTTTTATCGAGTCCGGTTTAACAAAAAATTGCACTGTTATTTACATTGCATTGTAACTTTACTACTAAGAGAATCAACTAAAATATTTTTTAAAATTGACAATACTCTCATATTATGCACAAATACCGTAGTTTTTCTAATTCTACAGTTAGGAAAACGACATATGTTCACCAAAGGACAGATTTTGCGTCGACTTTACGACGGTTTCTTGAGCAAAGTGTACTTACCAAAGGAAATTTATACAAAAACTACGGCCGTGGCACGGACGCACATGTCTGCTGGTCTGGTCTTAGCAGGACTTTATCCTCCGACAGGTTATCAAAAATGGTTGGACAGTGAAACCGTATGGCAACCAATTCCTATTTATGGCGGATCTCCAGATCACAGTGATGGAATTGTAAGTATGACAATATAATATGCAAAAAAACGTTACACTACTCTATAGTTTCGCACCGACGAATTTCAAACTTTCAGTTAAACTTTTACAACATTTAATAGTTAAATTAAAAGACACAGTTTTTTTTTTCATTGAAAAATTGCCTATACAATGTGTTTTGATAAATGCTTATGCAAAGGCCCAATAATGCTTTACAATTAGATGATCAATCAGTTCAAAATTACAATTTTTTAGTTTAACAATTGTCCGTCCGGTTCTTCATCATTCAAAACTGCCATTGTAAAATCTACACAACTTGACAACGAAACGCATGAAGAATTATTATCGTACCTATCAAATAAATGTGGACAACCCATACAATTATACGATATATACTCCTTATACGATTTGCTTAACTGTCAGGTAAATATAAAAACAAAACAAATGTTAACATTATTGCTGGTTAATCGATTCAAAATAATTTTTAAAAATAATAAAGATAAATGCCGGTCTTCAACCACCGGATTGGACCAATCCTAACTACTATGAACAAATTGCAGTTATAGCCGAGAGAAAAGAAAGTAGACAATTCCTTTGCGGAAATAAGAAATTACAAAACTTGTTTATTGGTTAGTATATATATATATATATATTATTCATTAGTTATTTGTATCAGGGACGAATCCAGCCTATAATAATAGAGTGGGGTGATCTAAATGGTTTTACGCGGGTATGAATGGCATAAGCATAAGCATATGTATTATTTAATACATAATATTTTAATTGTATAATTTGTTGTTAATATTTTATGCAGGTCCGTTAATAAAGGAAATCGCTTCGGAAATTCAAGAAAAATCACACAACAGTACCTCCGAATTACAAAAAATGATTATGTATTCCGGGCACGACCTTACTATACAATTTATTGCAACTATTTTGGGCAATGAAATGACACAGCCACATTATGGCGCTTCATTGCATTTCCACTTGTATCGCTATAACGAAACAGAAGGGGACATCGTAAAAGTAAATACTTAAACGTATAATAATTTGAGAAAATATACAAAGTACGAATAGGATGCCAGTTCTGAAGTAACTTATGTATGCCCATTACAATATGTTATAGGTACTTTTTTATAAATCGTGGAACGACAACGAAGGAAACACATTGCCAATATCGGATTGTGGCGACCCTTGCAAAGTCGACGATTTCGTTAAGTTATTCAATGGTGCGTTTACAAAAACGTGGGAAGAAGAGTGCCAGGAAGAAGAATAACACGAACATTATACATATGTATTACGGTTGCACAATATATACTGTGCCTATCATAATAAATATATTGATTTTATAATTCATTTTGACCTTAAGGTAATTAAAAGGTTATATTGACTGAAGCTGACAAAAAAATACAAACACAAAAATTGCAATATATAAAAAATCTGTTTTCCACCTAACAAATTTGGTTCTACTTTAATATTTAATATTGCCTAGACAAACTCAACCTAACTTAACCTGCCAATCCAGCATTGGTATTTTATTTTTTAAATTACCATGTTATCCTAATAAGTGTTGTGCCAGAATAAGCCATTATTAAAAAAACAAATTTTATTGTGAGTTGAAAATAAAATTTTTAAATAGTGCACTTGGACGCAAATTATTTGAACGTTTATATCTTTGGGAGATTTATATATTTACCGAACACATTTTTATTTTTTCAATTTATCATGATTTTAAAATTTTTAAATAAATATGTACTTTTTAATTTAAATTTCAAAATTTGGTACAACTTTTAAGAAAACTAACATGGGTCAGTGTTAAGTACTGGATAAAGTATAAAATCTAATAAAGCATTTTATTCAAAATTTCACCTTAAATATATTTAAGATACAAAATAGAATATAGAAATTTGTATCTTAAATAAGTTTTTAAATTAATTGTATTTGAAAATTTCACATTTTCTGATCAAAAGGTATTTTGTTGCGGCGATGCGATAGTAAGAAGCTATTGGTTTTATAATGATAAAAAATGATAAAACTTTTTTAATGTGGACTGAATTACGTGTGAAGCACTTCTACAGATCCCAAATCGATTGGAGATAGTACTTTGGTAGATCAAAAGTAGAAAAAGTCAACTCCTTTACCTTAAAAATTAAGAAACCCCGGAAAAACTCTGTTTTTTCAACAGTAAACTTTAATTTGCTAATTTACTCAAATGTGCAAATAAGAGGGTGGTAGAGAAAATATATTAGAACTTTCTAATTTTTTACTATTTTGTATTATTTAGTACAGTTAATTTTATTTAACAACATGTAACATATATATTTTTACCAAGATAAAGATCAACAATTAAACAAATAGGCTTAGGAATTTAACATTTTTGTAGATAAGATTTTATCGCTGATTTTGAATTAAATAGTATTTATGAACATTGGTAAAAGGTTTTATGATAACACTTTTAATAGATTATATTCAACAATATAATTGTAATGGATTGGTTGTACGTTGTCGTATTATAAATCTTTAGAATTTATTCGTATTTAAATAAACTTAAACGCATCCTTAAGGTGCAGGTTCAACATGTGGAATCCATTTGATAGATATGTAAACTATCCCATCTTCGATGACATTCTGATCATTACTATTATCATTAATATTCTCATAGTTACAGTCCGTGTGGTCAACGTTTTTTAATTTAAGATCAGCTGGTGAATTGTGGCCCCAAAATATACTTACCATCAACTGTAAATTAAAGAAAAAACAATGCATATTTTAAATGCAAAAATTCATATTCAATTAATTCATTTTTATTTTTATTACAAAACAATTAATTTAATTATTTAAATTTAACGATACATATCAATAATACGAAGCAATTGTTATTTTGTATTTACTTTATTTATGATTTCTTTGTCAAAGTTCAATGATCTGGACATAATGGCTATATAATGCTGGAAGCCAGTGGGCTTTTTTGAGCATATGTATACACCCGCATAGGATTCATAGTTAGTGTCGAACACAATAAAAGACGGTTTTTTCTTTTCAGGATTAGCTAAGTATATTATAAAAATTACCAATTAGGTATCTATATAATGTAAAGTGGTTTACTATCGGTAAGTAAATTTAATCCAACACTTAAATCATTCAGTTTTAAATAATAAGGAATTGTTGATTTATCGGGTGAAACACGATGAAAGAATATACAAAAATGTTAAAAGAAAACTGTCAAATCATCACGTACTTGAATAATCAACTTCAAGATCAGTAAAAATCAATTGTGATGATAAACTTGTATTGGCTTCCAATGATCCAAATAAATAGTCGAAATTTGATTGAGCTGCGTGATCTACTATATTTTCGATTTTTTGTGTGTAAATATCAAACACTAAACATCGAGTTAGTGGTAACGTCGTTTTTATGACGTTCCATGGTCCTAAAAACTATAGAAAAAAGCGACAGATTAGTACGAGTACACAGGAGTTAGTTAAAACGATATTTCTAAGATAATTATTCTGTTATTGTTTTTTTTTAATTTAGGAAACGTCATCTAGGTGTATAATTAAAAAGAAATGATTTAGTTTTTAATCATATTGTATGTCTACTCTTTTCCGATCTCACTCTTAAAAGAGTGATTTTTACCACCCACTTCTACCACTTCGAAGTATTTTTTCCAAAACGAAAGTCATATTTGAACTAAGTTTAGTTAAATTTGCTTTAGGTGTTTCAATGCTCTGGTGAAACCAGACCCTATACATAGATTTATATATTTTACTTTATAGTTTTGCGGTCGCTAAAGTGATTGGTGACTGTTCCGATACTTTAGAAACTACTACGGTGGGGTGGGTAGGAAGTGAAATGAACAAATATAAATAAATGGTTATAATTGGTAATAATTGGTTTCCTATATATATTTGTATATAAGAATTATTAAGCTTAAGTTAAAAAATGGTAGCTATATTTACAAATATTTTAGAAGCTCAACCAATGATCATTCTGGTTTACGAATATATGGTACTCACTTGTTTTATTTTGTTATTATATATCTTGTCAAGTTTCAAATGCATTACTTAAACTTACCTTTTCCATTTCGAAACCTTCCATAGGTTTTAAATTAAGACATTCATGTCCCGAAACGACATTCAAAGAACTAACTAGCAACATAGATAAAAGACGCAAGCCATTGAACTTCATTGTATGACGGTGTATATAAACACGTAAATCGAATATTTTTAAAATCTAAAATAACATTGCAATTATATCACTCAAGTCATCATCATATACGGGAAGTTTAACAATGGCCTAAATTGTAGATGGATAAAGTGGAGGGGAGCGTAAGTTGTTTTGTGTCATGAGGATGGCTATAGAATACAACAAGTAACTCAGCAAATTCTTTTGACTACTCAATTTCAAGCTTAAAAATTTAACTACGCATAAATCATAATTATTCTTAGTACCATTATTGATTTAAAGCAAAATTATTCATTAAATAATTATAAAAAGGAAAACATTTTTATAGAGAATGGCATATCAATTAAACAAAATTCCTTATAAATAAAGTTATGATGCTATAATGAAAATGAAAAAAATGTATATCTATTCCAACCAGAGTTTTGCAAATTGTCATTTGAATATTTTTACCGAATGTTGTACAACTCTGATTCCAACACCTCAAATTAAACATAATAATGATTAAACATAAAATCGAATAAAGCATTTTATTCAAAATGTCACCTTACATATATTTAAGATACAAATAGAAAATATAAATTTGTATCTTAAATACGTTTTTGATAATAAAGTATTTAAAAGTTTCCCCATTTCTGAATAAAAGCATACTTACGACTTTTGAAGTTTGAAAGTGCAGCTTACTAAATGATGTACTGAATTTTGACACAGAGTTTACCTAAGACTTTATTTTTAGTTATCAGTATACACATTTATCGAAAATTAATCAATATCATTGGCAGGCTAGACTATGATAATTTATTTACATAACTGTTTAAATATTACAATTTATCGGAAAAAAAATATTTATATAATTTTATACTCATTAGTCATTGGTATGTACCATTGTTTTTCGCCATACGTATATAATTTACACTTTTTTTATAAATATGCTTCTAACTAATGGGATTTTTTTTTGTCTGGATGCGATAGAATAAGCGCTTTGGTAAATCAAAAGTAGAAAATGTCAACTCAAAAAGAAGGGTGCCACGGGGACTTTAGTAACCCCAAAACTTGAAGCACCAATCCTTGATTTGTATGCATAACATTTTACAAATGTATGTACATACTCTGATTAAATTTTTTGTTTAAGAATATTTTTGTTTTTAAAATATTTTTTTTTATATTTAATGGTTAGAAGATAAGTATAATGTTTAATCAGGTATATAGAATTTTTGTATTCCCTAAAATGTACTCGTAAAGGGTTAATACATTTCTAACGTCATTAATTACTTTTAGTTTAACGGCATTGTTTTTATACGTTTTGTTAGCGATTGATTTTGCAAAGTTCGAAAATAAAATAGACTTAAATTCTAGAACAATGTTTATTTTTTATTTAAGCTAAGCTCAGTTATAAACTCATCTCTCAAGCCTTTTCTCCTGCCTTCTAATTACATATCTCTATCAAAAAGGTAATCGCTATTGCGATCCATTAATATAGAGTAAATAATTGTTTCAGATACAAATTCCTGTTCTTCATACATGTTTCTATAAACCAGACATCCTGTCTTAAACAATTATATCGATACCTTGAAACACACAAGTGCTATGTCAATTTTTTTTAAAAAATCGTGATTTTGTATATCCTTGAATTCGTGATAAAAAACTGAATCAAATGGACCCAAAATCACGATTTTGAAAAAAAAATGGACATAGCACTTGTGTGCTCCAATGTAACGATATTCCCTCAATCAAAATACCATTTTCCGGATTCATAACACACACGTGTCATAATTACTTAAACGATAAAAGCACTGCTGTTCATTGATTTCATTTTATATATGCTACATTTCCTTACACCTGGTTATTACCCTCACAAGGCAATCGCCAAAGTAAACTAATTCTAATGGTTGAACAGTCCGACTGTACGACACGCGACTAATAAAAGTCAGTAATAAGGAGTATAGTTGGTCATAGTGGATTATCGATTGAGGTTATTCTTAACAAGCGTAGACAATTCATTATATTAAATTACTAATAGTCTGTATATAGAACTATTTTTTGACGAAAACAGCTTACACAAAGAGGTAACTTATATTTTACTTTAAAACGTGTACCTATACCATGTAAACTAAGAGATAATTTAACACGAAAAAATCAAAATATGTTTCATACTGCACACCTAGAATATATAAACGAAGAAAAAAAAAGGTAACACGGAAAAATATTTTAAATTTTAATAAAAAGTAGTATTATATATTTAATGTTAAGAGAGAACATCTTTTCCATTTTTAAAACAGTTATAATATTTACACTATTTGCATGCTTTGTGGTAACTCCCATTTGGATATCTTGACTGGTCTACGGAAGAATGCGTTTAAATAGTGTAAATACAATACCCATTAAATTAAAATTCCTTTCTTTTACAAAAGCGTTAACCAGAGAATATATTTTAATTAAAATGAATTCACTTACAAAAATAATTATGTAGTAAGTAATTGAAGATAAAGTTTTTAATACTTATTATTTTATTTAAGACTAAGTTTCTTAAAAATTTTTAATGCGTTCTAAACTATATCTTTCTATGTATTTTTTCTGTATTCATTTTAACGTTTTTAATATGTTTTTTAAGTTAGTATTAATTAATTATTTTGTTAAATTATATTATATTATATTATGCTTTATGTATACACTAAGCACATTTCAATAAATAAATAAATATACTAATGAAGATTAAAGTATATGTTTTAATCCCATGACGCATCTAGTCGTTTGATTCAACTATTAGTAATCATAATGTAGTAATGTAACCTAAATAAAAATATTATTGATGAAATCCCAAAAATATTTGTTTCTTATACTTAAACTATCGTTGTTATGTATATCGTTGTTGCTATGTTGTTATTGTTGTAGTTTCAGAAATACATAAGAAACAACTGAAATACAGTTGTGGTGTAATGAATAATATTTACTTTCAACAATATAGTAATTATATAAATATCAAAATATGAAATGTATCATAAAAATAATAATACAAATTTATACAAGCTACAAATTAAAAAATGTTAATTCCATGACACACCTAGTTGTATGATTCAACTAACAGTAATTATAATGTAGTTTTGTGAAGTGTGATTATAATATTATAGTTTTGTGAGCCCAATCAGGTCGGATAATAGTAGCGACGAAGCATAGGATAATATTATCTATTTTAAATTATTTAATTAATAATTTAAAAAAATAACTTTAAGAAATTTCCAATTTTTAATAATTTTGTTTACTTGAATATAATGTGGTACAGTTTAACTTTATTTAAAAGCATATTAAATACATTTATACTAAGCTAAAGATCTCCAATTAAACAAAAAGGCCTAAGAATTTAACATATTTGTAGTTAGGATGTATCAGCTAAAACAGAAGCCAATCCAATTGGGCCTAATTACAGTAGTTAGTAATGACAGAGCGTAGGACAATATTATCTATCTAATTAAATCAATAAACTTCCAAGAAATTTCAAATTTTTATAATTTTTTTAAATTTAAATATAATCTGGTACAGTTTAATTTTATTTAACAATGTATAACAAATAAATTTATATTAAGCTAAAGATCTCAGATTAAACATGCTGGCCTAAGAATTTAACATTTTTGCAGATTAGGTATCTAATTTTAAATTGTAATAGATTAGTTGCCGTACTAAAAATATTTAGAATTCATTCGTATTTAGTACATTTTAACATATTCCTTAAGGTGCAGGTACATTCTGTGGAATCCATTTGATAGATATGTAAACTATCCCATCTTCGTTAATGACCTTCTGATCATTAGTATTCTCATTAATATTCTCATAGTTACAGTCCTTGTGGTTAACCTTTTTGAGTTTAAGATCCGCTGGTATAATATGACCATTGTATATACTTGCAAACAACTGTAAATAAAAAAATATAAAGCATTTTTTTAATTGCAAAAATCAGATTCAATTAATTAATTTTTATTCCTAAACAATGAATATCAAAAATACGAAGCAATTATTTTTTTATATTTACAGAATTTATGGTTTCTTTGTCTAACGTCACTTTTCTGGACATAATGGCTATATAATGTTGGAAGCCAGTCGACAATTTTGTGCATACGAATACAACTGCATAGGTTTCATAGTCAGTATCAAACACAATAAAAGACGGTTTCTTCACTGCATTATCTGCAAAACGTATTATAAAAATGATCAATCAGGTATCTATATAATGTAAATTGGCTTACAATAGGTAAGTAAATTTAATTAAACACTTAAATAGTTAATTATTAAATAGTAAGGAATCGTTGGTATATCTAGTGTAACACGATGAACGAAATCACAAAACTATTTGTAGAAAAATGTCAAATCATCACGTACTTGAATAATCAAAATTAAGATCTGTAAAAATCATTGCTGATGATAAATTTGATTTGGCTTCCAATGCTCCAAATAAATAGTCGAAATTTGATTGAGCTGCAAGATCTGCCATATTATCGATTTCCTGTGTGTGAAAATCATACACTAAGCATTGAGTTCGTGGTAACGTCGTATTTATGACGTACCATTGTCCTAAAAACTATAGGAAAAGGGACAGATTAGTACGAGTACACAGAAATTTATTAAAACGATATTTCTAAGAGAGTTATTCTGTTGTGATTTTTTTAGAAAACGTCAGTTGTATGAATAAATAAGAATGATTTAGTTTTCAATGATTTTGTATGTCTACACTTTTCCGCCCGACTCTTTAAATATTAATAAATTACATTAGTTTCCTATATATATATATTTTTTTATAAAACAATTATAAACTTAAGTTAAAAAAGGTAGCTATATTTACAAATACAATTAGGCTTTTAACGGCTTAAGCAATGATAAATATGGTTTACGAATAAATACAAATTAGAAATAAAGACCGACATTAGTGTCCTAATATAAGCTTAACAAATAACTATAATATAAATACTAACATATTTGTTTAATAATACCCCAATATGCTACTCAATTGTTTTAGTTTCTTATAATATACCCTATTAAGTATCAAATGCGTTACTTGAACTTACATTTTTCATTTCGAAACCTTCCATAGGTTTTAAATTAAGACATTTATGTCCCGAAACGAGTTTCAAAGAACTAACTAGCAAAACGGATAAAAGTCGCAAGCCATTGAACTTCATTGTATGACAGTGTATATAACCACGTAAATTGAATACTTTTAATAACTAAAAAAAAAACATTGCAATTATATCACCCAAGTCGTCATCATGTACGGTAATCATGTACTACGTCATAATGTTCATAACAATTTTCTTAATTAAAAAATTGTATAAAACAGTACGTTAACAATTAAAAAAAAAAAAAAAATTGTGCTTTTCGAACATTTTTTTTTATCTTAAGCAACGTATAAAATTTGACTGCAATTGATAATATAGTCTAGAGAAGGTGTTTTATTTTGTTTATTTTTTTTAATTTATCATGATTTTAAAATTTAAAAATAAATATGTACTTTTTAATTTTAATTTCAAAATTCGGTACAACTCTTAAGAAAACTAACATGGGTCAGTGTTAAGTACTGGATAAAGTATAAAATCTAATAAAGCATTTTATTCAAAATCTCACCTTAAATATATTTAAGATACAAAATAGAATATAGAAATTTGTACCTTAAATAAGTTTTTAAATTAATTGTATTTGAAAATTTCACATTTTCTGATCAAAAGTATGCTTACAACTTTTGGAGT